CATCCAATCATGTATGTAGGTTTCCACAGTGACATACAGAAGTAACTTTTGACCCAAGTCTAATTTAATTGCAAGTGTAGCAAAAATATCACTCACTGTGTCATCATGATGAACCTACTATCAATACACTCTTCTTTGCGAGCATTGCAATCTTTGGAGAAAGATCATAAATCTCTACAGGCTGGGCAAATGATTACCCAGGAACCTACCTAATAACTGTATAATTTCCCCTAAAACCATAAAAGAATTATATTAAAAGCTTAATAAAACTGCCAGCTGGCTCCTTTTGATGTAAAGACTCTGTCTCCAAAAGGAAATGAATGAAGAGGAAGTCTTTTGTTTCATGTGGCCAGGATGTCATTTGTTCTGTGGCGGGAGTAGTTCCACATTACTGGGCCAGTAGCTAATATAGTGAAAATCATCTTCATCTGTCTTTTATAAAATACAGTATGTATAAAGAAAATAAGTGAATCCATTTTCAGGTGGCAGCATGCAATTGCTACTAGGATAAGAGGCAGGTTTTTTTAAAAAAACAACAACAGTCCTTTATCCTTTGCAGGCCTCAAACTATGAATGGCTTGCCATGAATGACATCTAGCACAATTGGCTGAGGAGCCCCCTCTAGACAAACTGCCAGTTTCATGCCTTCAGCTGGGCATATCATAAGTGGGGAAGGGCAGCATTTTCATTGCAGGTGTGATGCAGGAAGAGCAGTGTTAAATATTTATAACATGGTATTTGGAATAATCAGGCAGATAGTGTGCATTCTGTTGGGTTGGACAAGTTGAAAGAGTTCTCTTTTTCTAACACTCCTATGTTTGTAATAAAAGCAGATCTGGACCAATTGTATTAGTGATGGAAGCATTTAAGCATTGAGCAAAAAGGTAGGCAGCGAGCATCAATGATTTCAAAACTGTGTACTTTGTGAAGTATATAATAATATTTCCTTTCACCTGATACCACATACCCAGCACTCTTTAGTAGGTCTGAGAGTTCTTCTGGTTCAGTAAAGGTTTTCCTTAGTGATGCTGAATGTTCAGAATTGCTGTAGTTCAAAACAGCAAAAAGCATTTTGTACACTGCAGAATAATCACTTCAGGAGACACTTGGATTGATTTTATAAAATGAAACAAGTGTAAGTACAACACTCTATAAAACATAAAAAATAAAATTTGAAAGAAGATAGGCAGTAATTACTTTACAGCAGAAGCAGGCAGCCTCTTGGTGCTCACTTAATATATTTAATAACCAGTGGTGGTACTAAGCAGGTCTATGGTGTCATTGTGGGTGAAGCCCACAAGAACAATGAGAAAAATACTTTAAAATTGTCAGGAAATACTAGTTATTTTTAATTTACAGTAATAATGACCTAAGCTAAATGATGTAGTGGTTATCATTCCCATATTTAACAACTCCATACTTTTTTGTTAGGAAGTATTGAAATATTATATCCCAATAAATGAATTTGTTACTGACAGTTTCTCTCATTGTATTGTATAACTTCCTGACTAATTTCTATTATTTTCCTAGAACATTACTTTAGCTCATATTCACTTGAAATTGCCCCTCTTTCATTGTCTCAGGTTAAATCCTTCTTTGAACAGAGCATCTCCAGCACATAGCATGCTCGAGTACAGGGATGTCAAACTGGCGGCCCGTGGGCTGGATGCATCACGTTCAGGCCACACCCACCCTGGCTCCGCAAAGGCAAAATGTGTCACAATACGTCACGATATGTCAGGTGACACGATTGAGTTTGACACCCATGCTCTAGTATCATTCACTTAGGAAGCTGAAGCAGTATAAAGTTACCAGATACTGGAATGATGTGAAGCAGAACACTTATTTCCAGTAT